ACCACGAAGGTGGTCGGGTGGAGGCGGAGCGTCACACTGGTCCCGCTGGGGGCTGCAGGAGGTGAACTGGTCCGACAGGAAGTCATCAGACTGCCTGCGGGTCCTCTGAAGTGGAGAGACAACTTTATTCTGAAAAGGACCGACAGGAAGTAGATTAAGACGTGTTTCACATCCGTTTTATTCTTGACTCCATTAAGTGTTTGTGTTTCCTCTAAAAACAGCCAATAGCAGCTGGCGCTATGAGCTAGCAGCAGCTACCTCTACAGTGAACGCAGCCAGACCCGTGACCCGAACACACACACACACACACACACACACACACACACACACACACACACACACACACACACACACACACACACAAGACACAGACACACACAGAACAGACAAAAAACAACACAACACAACAACAACAAACAGAAAACACACACAAACAACAAACACACAAGACACACAACAACAAGAAACAACAAACACACACACACACACACACACACAAACACACAACAACAAAAAACAGAACACAACACACAACACAACACACACAACACACAAACAACACAACACACACACACACACACAAAGACACAACACACACACAGACAGACACACACAGACACACAACACACACAGACAGACAACACACACACACACACACACACACACACACACACACACACACACACACACACACACACACACACACACACACACACACACACACACACACACAGACACACACACACACACACACACACACACACAATCCATTCTGCAATAAACTGAGACAGAAAGGGACAACTGCACTTTTTGTTTTGAAAAATCGAAGGCAACTTGTTCCAATGAGGATAAAGTGATCACTACTACTGATCAGCAGTGATCAGTAGTGATCAGTAGTGATCAGCAGTAGTGATCAGTAGTAGTGATCAGTAGTAGTGATCAGTAGTGATCGGACAGAACTGCTGAATTTGCATTAAGTGTTGCATCACAACTTCCTGGATGGGCTGTAAATGACACAGATTAGCTCCATGCTAGCAGCAGCTCCAGAGGAGTAATGGAGCTGCTGTGAAGGGGCAGTGTGATGAACTCACAGCACTGAGTCCCGGTCGGCTCTTGGACACTTTACTGGAGCTCTGAGGGTCTCTGGAGGTTCTGGGAGTCTTGTTCTTGTCTCTGCTCCTCCTTCGGTAGTTCTTCTTCTTCTTCAGGTTCTTCAGACTCAGAGCGATTGCAGGGCTGCACAGCTGGAGGAGGAGGAGGGAGACGTTGGGGGGGTTCCAGGATGTGTGATGTCACAGTCTGAGCTAAAGGGGGCGTGGCAACAGGACTTACACACATGAATCCTCGGAGCTCCGTGATCAGTTTGTACTGGGACTCACAGACGAGACAGTCGGGAGGAGAGACGGGTCCCAGCTGACCTGAGGACAGACAGACGATAACACAGCGTTAGCGGTCGCCTGTCGATGGCGTCGTACCCCCCCCTTTGTGCCTGCGTCAGCGCCGTCATACACTGACTGTTTAGAACTTTGGGGTTTTTAACGTGAGCAGACACAGCTTCAGTAAACGGTCCAACCTTTACGCAGCAGTTTGTGAGGAGCTGGAGGTCTGCTGGGAGGGGCTTTGGTCCTGTGTGACGTCTGTGGGGAGGGCGGGGTCTTCAGTCCCGGCGGAGGGGGGGTGGATTTGAAGTTCACACTGTGGTTGATCAAAACCTTCTGAGCTGCTTCACCTGAGACCACACCTGGACCACAGAGAGAGAGAGGGTGAGGAGACCAGCAGGTCTGCTTTAAACCCAGTCCGACTGGTGGGGGTGTTTACCTGTGATGATGGGGGTGGGGTCAGTGGCGGTGGAGGAGCTGGAGAGGGACAGGGAGGCCGTGGTGCTGAAGTGCTGAGTCCCTGCAGGACTGTGGACAGTCAGACTGACGGGGATCTGGACTGTGCTGAACCCGCTGGCCGAACCTCCAGGATGAGAGCGCAGCTTCAGCTCCGCACCGCCACCTGCAGGAGGTCAGAGGTCAAATGTGATGACACTGTCAGCAGCTATTAGCTTAGCTTAGCACAAAGACTGTAAAGTGTAAAATACAGGATGTGGCAGGAAACTGACTCTAGTTCACCTGGATACAGTTGCTGCAGGAACAAGGTTCTGTTGTTGTTGTTGTTGTTGTTTTCTACGGCTGCGTAACTGTTATGCTAACGTTAGCCTTCAGTTGAACTGAATGAATGATTGTTTATTGGCATGTTTAAGGTTGTTTGTTAGAATAAGACCTGACACACACACACACACACACACACACACACACACACACACACACACACACACACGTGATGTTATCTGCACTAATGACGACTGAATGATTGATGGACTGACCTCCAGGCTGCAGGGCGACGAGCCGACCGTTCACCTTAAACCCCAGAGGAACACCTGAACACTGAACACACACACACACACACACACACACACACACACACACACACACACACACACACACACACACACACACACACACACACAGGAATGAAACTCAGAAGAAATACAATGTTTTAAAGGCAGAAATATTCCAGTTGTTGTAGTTTTAAATTCCACTTTTTTACAACAACTTAACAATCTCACCTGAAATCAATGTGGCTTTTAATATTTCTTATATCTTATTAACAGACCTTCACATTCACAGTACTGATGGGAATCCCGCTCTTTTCAGTGAACCACATCATTTTGCTTAATTTAGAACCACCTCTGTACGGTGGCTGAGAGGTTTCAGCCAATGTACAGAAGCCACAACACAACAGAAGAAATGCCGACAATGAAGCGGATGGTTTTTAACGGGTTGCTATTTGCAGCAATGATTCAGTGTCCTTATGTTTTGATATTAATGCATTGATATTTCAATATGAGGGAAAAGAAACCACTAACAGCATAAAAGTTACTTTGGATCGTCCTGAGTAACAAACTAATATCTGAACAGATAGCAACAGTGATCAGAGTTTGCTAGCGAACAGACAAAAACCTTTTCTC